TTAAAGGGTTGGGTCAAACCAAAATAGTAACGTGGCATGCATTAACTTGATAAAGGGCCCATAGCATGCATTAAACCAAAAAGATGATAGGAAGTGAATTGCACTCTGGTCACTGCGGGCAATACAGTAGCCTAGAACACCATTTGAGTCACCTCCGTATCACATAAGCAGTCAAAAGTTGAACCTCTAATGCTTCAGTAGTTCCTTCGACATCAATACTTAATCTAACTTAATATGTAAGGTCTCCGTTACATTAGAACGGAACATAATTTCCAATAAACGGAACAAACTGAAGAAAATTTGTAATAGCATTGCAAATCATGGAATTATTGGTTTCATTTTAGCACTCCTGTTATGTAATTATTTATTTGTTTGATTTTAATCAATGGTTCTATTGTGGGCCGAGTCACGCTGTTACTTGTATTATTATTCTACGCCATTAAAAACATTTATCTGCTTTTTTGACTGACATTAAAAAAATCTTGTGAATTTGTCTTTTAAATTCAATGATTTATTGTTTGCTTATTTATTTAGATAACGAAGCACAAATATTCCATATTGTTCAATTTTGTTATGAAATTGTTAGATGTTAAAACGAGAACTGCCATAACTAATGTTAATTGTTGTTTGGTGCGCCAGATTTAGGATATAAGAGCTTGGATATTATTTTATATAGGGGCTGTAAGGGTGAGAGAAATCAAGACTAGATAGATGTACTTGTCGCATTCCATTTATGGTTTAATGGCGCCAATCTTGGATATACTATTATCTTATGTGAAAAAATTTCTTCAGCAAGCATCAAAGCTGTCATGAACATGAAAATTACAATCGCCGTGATAACTTTTGTAGCCTAACTGGAAGAAAGAAGCTTGTCTATAATTGCGCAATCAATGAGATTTATATGTCCCGCAAAGTCCTGTTTATTTTTTTTTGTTGTTGTATATATTGATGTGACCAATGTGCTTGTACTCAAGTAGCACGTGATGTACTAGTGGATGACTTTGATACTTTAAAAAATGACGTTGTTATTAACCAATTTGTTTTACAAATTCGGTCAATATACCGGTAGTTCACCATAAATTTCAGATTCCAGGTTACAGAATTAAATCTGATGGAAGTCATTTATACTCCTTTTCCATATTATGAACTCCATATATTTTGTTCTAACTCAAACAAAACATGTTGAAGTTGGCACAACGTTACAAAACTGAAGAGAAAGATGACAGCAAATGTTTTTTAATTTCATTTCTCTATTCGTTCTTGTCTCCGTATGCTTGTGCGGCGTGTATTAATTATAGTTTATTGCAAGTGTCATACAAGTAACTCGTTAAAGTTACATAAATATGCGAGCATGCATAGGTCTAGAATCCTGACGTTGAAATTTATCTGAAGTCTCAACATTGTGAACTGGAAAATTTGTTCTATTCCTAAAATTATCTTTCATGTAGCAGTAAATATTTTTTTTAGAAATTATTTCATTGGCATAATTTTCAGATATCAACATGGGAAGTAATTTCTTGATTGCAGTCTAATCGAAGTATTCCAATTGCGCTGCGAATTATATTGAACAATTGACACGTAATCACCGCCTACAGCAATGCACCTTGCTTATGTATCTTACATACCGTATAGTGCTCGCATTTAAATTCAATTGCATTACATTTCGTGCCAAATCTCGCTCGACCAGCCGCTGCCTCATATTTCGTTTATAATTCCATGCTGGGGTTTACAAAGGAAAATGGTAAGAATTTCCCATGCGTACGCGAGGCTTGCAATGCATGGACCGAAATGGCGGACGGAAACTCAGCACCTCGTAAACATTTCTGACGAGGAAAAGTTTTGTCGCTTGGGAGTCGCGTTCTTGAGGATATTGTTTTTGCTGCTGATGTCGAGTACTTTGGTGCTTGGCAAAGAAGATTAAGAAGAATTAAACCCGCTCGTCCTTTACCTGCGCTGGAAAAATCCTAAAATTGGCACTATTATTTCTGGTAAAAATACTCATGGAAGTTAAAGTTACAAAGCTCTCTACAGTGATGGAAATTTGATAGTTAAATTTGATAGCTGCGAAATCCGGGTTAACGATATAGAGGAGTATTAATTTCCATTGGATTTGCTATTCATCGTGGATTCTGGAACGATGGAGCTCAGTACGGGAGAGAAACATTACCGACATCACTGTGAAGACACTCCAACTGGAAAATTCATTCATCACGCTAATCGCAAACGTATTCATTACCGGGATATTTTACGAAACTCTTCGGGTGGCGCCCCCACAGACCGCTACTCAGTCGCCATTCAGAAAGATGCTCATTAAATAATTCGTTGTTCTTCCTGCATTGAGCCGACATTCAACATCACTGCACTGGTTAAATCAACACGCAAAGAAGATGGAATTCTCTTTAGTGTTCTTGGAGAAAGGAATGTCGCGTATATAAGAACACGTTACAGAACATTGGAATTATGTCATGTGGTCCGAGGCAATGGAAGCCGGTGTGTACAGGCAAAATAAATCGCGACCCGGAAATTTGACGAGTACATCACGATGTAGATCAACTCAGGGTAGTAGGTCTCCTAACTCTCCTTGGAAACTAAAAACGAAACGCTTGGCTTGGATCTTACGTCGGGATCTCAGTTATTTCCTGTATTGAGTATCGGCAAAATACCATAATCTTCAAGGACTTTGTTGCGTGGCAAAAAATCGAAAATTCGCAATCTTCGTTTCCAGAATGGTCCAATTTCCTTCTCCAAATATCTCGTGAAGTCCGATACCCTTGTCTACCCCACCAGCTTTGCAACAGGAGCCACCGTGGTTAAAAGGATACAGACTCGGCACTCGAAAGATGTAAAGCTGAAGTGCAATTACAGAGACGGAAGAGGTCATTTCACTACGACGACGTCCATAATTTGGCTGCGTGGAGCCGGTGAAATTTTGTTAGGAGAGGTCGATGAGACCTTAACGGAGTACGTGAATCAGTCGAGTTTGTTTTGGTGCATGAAACTCGATCAAAACTTTGAGGTGTACAGTAAACAGCTGTTCATTATCAGCGTTTCTAGGAGAGTTACACCGCTTCCCGCTCCAGTTTTGGAAACCCGAGTGTTAACGGTGAACAGGAGTTCCGTTTTGCCGCCCATCTATGAACCAACGTAAACACACAATGTGTAATCCGTGGTGGTTGAAGATTACGTGTAAATTATACAACTGATTTTAATTGCGCTTTTGGCGCTTTTGGTGTTGTTTTTCATACTTATGCTGCTTATTGTGATTATTTGCTGCAAGTTTTGTAAGAAAACTGAAACGTCTCGTGAAACGGATCATGCGTAGAATGCAGAATTATACGTGCCCCATTAAAATGTGCGAAACTTGAACAGTGATGGAGAACGTTAAAAGGTTGAACAGAATTCTTCTGTAACGACATCGCCTCTTCGTGTTAAAAATCCTTAATCTGAATATAAGTCAGTAACCAATGAACTACCTATTTTGGTGGAAGCTTTTGCCCAGACCAGCCCTATTCAAATAAGCTCGTCGATGTAGTCTTCTAGAGATGAAATTAGCGAAATTCGCCAGTACATTGAATCAATTGCTGAGCAACTACGGAACAATTCTGGAACCCAAAACAAAGAAAATGAATAGGTACCATTCGAAAGCTCCTCTTTCGAATCAGAAGAACAGTCGCAAGGGGACAGCTCCGCTTCGTTGGCTTCATCAGAGTCGCCCTTACGCATGGTTCCAAAACAAACGGTAGTCAATCAACCATTCTAAATTCCTGACATTAGTTCCTGGACACACTCAACTGGCTTACCATTTACCATGTCCAGCCACCCGAGCTAGCAACAATTGTTTAAAGAATAAAATAACTGTTGTCTCCAAGATGGCCCACCAACCTTAAACGGCTACTGGACCAACATTCACCAACCTTAAAACGGCTACTGGAACTTCCCACAACACGCGGCTGATCGTTATGTTTACTTTTAGCCTGGAAATGATGCGAATTGCCATGTTCCTGATTATTCATAAGGAAGGCTTATGGCCTAGGAAGGAAGTGCGTCTGATGATGATCCCAGCTTAATGTTGGAGTTGTAGTTTCCAAATCAATATTTTTCATAGAATAATGTCATGCCGCTAGACCAAGTTCAACAACAATGAAGCCACAAATTTTATTTAACTTGATGTTTTACTTTGATCCTCCCGCATTAAAACGTATCTTATGTTCATCATAAATTATTGTCTCGTTGGCTAATCGTCTCGTGCTTGAATTAAATAGAAGAAGGAAAACTTAATTTTTGTGTATGTTCACATTATTATATACAGTTATCTTTCTCACGGTGTCCGGCAAAATAGCTCATATTTGACCATATCCTGCTGCCTTGATTCTGAGGATAGAATCGATGAATGAAAGTATTATGGTGTTCTGAAACCTTTTTTTAATAAAATATTTATGCTTTTAATATAATGCGTTTGATTCAATACACAGCGCACCCGTAGGTCTTCTTCGAGCGACGACAAAACTGTATTTTTAGTTACTCGCATTTTTGTTTCGTCAAGAGCTGTTGTGGCTTCTGGTTTTCTCTTTGGCTTCTTTCTGGGCTGCATCATGAAAGTCTCATTAACTGCGAGTTCAGGTGTTGTTGCTGTTACTTAAACACCTGCTTGGCGGTCTCAGGTTCCACTACTATTCACAGACTGAAGGCTAAATTTGCTCGTGCACCGAATATAAAGTTCGCCGTACAATTCAAAAAAGAGTTTTCAGAACCAAAAATGTAACTACGAAAAATGATTTCATATTTCATCTTCTTGCTGGAACTTTGATAAAAAACCGATCATTTTGGCTGTAAGTCTGTACTATTATACCGAGGGGGAAATGTGAATTATGGGTGTAGACCGTGTAGATTCTACAGAAATCACTCATCTTGCTTTTCCCTTCAACGCCTGAAGCCACGCAGGTGTGACTTGTGGGGAAGCAGAGCTCATTGCCGAGAGCTGGTGCACTTGTCTTACTCACCGCGTGCTGATAAGTTACGAAGAGTTGGAATAAAGTTTTTAAATAAAGTTGGAGGAAGTTCCGAAGAGTATCGTGCTACAATTCCCATCCAGTCATGTAAGGCAAAGTTGATGGAAGCTTCGAGTCCAGCCTTATTGGAGAGGTCGTCTTCGAGCGCTGGTAGGCCTCCTGCTCTTGTCAGTCGTTTATGTTTGCAATTTATTACTCTAGAGCTTGATACATATATTAGTTTTTTAACGTCACTTCGTATACCATAAGAAATCAAAATGTGGTGATATACATGCAACAGAACATCATTAATTTGAAAGCCAAAATTTCGACGTGTAGCTCGTTGTGGCCCCGGGGTTTTTCATTGGGCCGCTTGTAATAGTGACTGCGATGCCAACACTGACACTGCACTCAGTGTGAAGGGGTGTGGCGCGGGTATTCTTTTCATATATAATACTGACTGTAATTTCAACATCCTGATATTGCACACAGTGTAGAGTGATGTGTCGCGTGTGTTTCTTTGACTTGTAATGCTGACAATGATGTTAATATTGTGACACTGCAGACAGTGTGGAGTGATGTGTCGCGTGTGTTTCTTTCATTTGTAATGCTGACTGTGATGCCAGTATCTGACACTGCAGACAGTATAGAGTGATGAGGCGCGTGTGTTTCTTACACTTGTAATGCTGACTGTGATGCCAGTATCTGACACTGCAGACAGTGTGGAGGGATGTGGTGCGCTAGGAGTCGTCGCTCGTCTGCGGTGCGATCGCTGCCTTTGGTCGTCATCATAGCGAGCTTCTTCTACATCGCCCAGTATCATCACAACCTCATCCGCGGTTTGATAATGAAGAACTTAGAACAATATCGAACTTAGAGCTGTAATTTATAAATACCCAATTTATATTTTAGTTAAAGCATTTGGCTAACCTTCTATACTGCAAACATTGCTTCATTAATGCCGTAGGACAAAAATTAACAAAATTAGCAAAGTAATTATAAAAAATGATCTATATTAAGAAAAAAAATAATAAAACCATTAGGTAGTCTGTCACTATATTATAGACGCTACATAATCGGCGGTCCTGAAATTAAACAAATGTTCGAATGAATAAAATATAAATTACATCTAAAGTAATGAATAATACTGGAGCAGGAAATTATTGCGACCGAAAGAGCGCAGAGCTTTTGGATAAATTCCTAAATTCTTCCATCAACAGCTGTAACAATTAACATTAACAGATATAAGGATTAATTTGAAAGACTCAATTTGTTCCAATTGTGTTAGTCCTTTATTAGCTCAATTTGAACAAGACTGTCTTTATAGCTATAAAACAATATAAGGACTGCATATATATCACTAATCTATTTCCTTACGAAAATCAAATCAACGAACACTGAGTTTTTAGCTATAAAACTATTTGAGTACTGCAAATGTTCTCCAATTATATTTGTAATTTCCCAGCTCAATTCAACGAAGACTGGGTTTTTAGCTATGAAACTATATGAGGCCTGTATATATGCTCGAATAATGTTTCATTCCCCAGCTCAATTCAACGATGACTGGGTTTTTAGCTATAAACTATATGAGGACTGTATATTTGCTCGAATAATGTTTGTCATTCCCTAGCTCAATTCAACGATGACTGGGTTTTTAGCTATGAAACTATATGAGGCCTGTACATATGCTCGAATAATGTTTCATTCCCTAGCTCAATTCAACGATGACTGGCTTAGAAGGATACGGGAATCATTACAGACCAAGAACTCGACTGTTGTTCGTAACGTCGCTGGCGCCGCGGAAACTTCACAAGCGTCGGCGACTGGCGGGGGCGGATCCGTAACTACGGAAGAGAATCCCGCGAGTTTAGCGGGAATAATCATCGTTGACGCGAGTACTTCACAGGTTTTAACAAATTTCGGTGAAAACCAAGCAAGGGGCAATGATTTACAAGTGGATGCGCACAAGCAAGACGTCATTAAAGTGAAAGAAGAAGAAAAAAATCTTGACAGAAATAAATATGAAGGCCATGAACAAGGAGATGATGCTGCAGTTCCCCCGCAAGCAAATAATGCTGCAGTTCCCCCGCAAGCGAATAATGCTGCAGTTCCTCAGCAAGCGAATAATGCTGCAGTTCCTCAGCAAGCGAATAATGCTGCAGTTCCTCAGCAAGCAAATAATGCTGCAGTTCCTCAGCAAGCGAATAATGCTGCGGCAGATCAAAAAGCGATTAATAATGCAATGGACTCAAATAACAGCGACGAAGCTTACGATTCAAGCAAAGAAAAACGAAATATTCAACGCGACGAACCAAAATCTGGCCGTGAGTTGGAGTCGGGCAGGCTGCAGGAGCTGTTCAACATGACACTGGACGGGTTCTACCGCGTCAACGAAACTCTTGATGGGAAATCGGTCACTAAGGTGAGTGAGAAGGTAATTTTGTTAGGAATTTCGGTTGAATAATTTTAGGTATATATTTGCATTTTATAGATGCATCAGCAATGCTGATAATTTTTTTCACTGTTGAATTTTATTTACAAACAATAACAACGGTCTGAAACATTGAGGTCTACAGGTTTTTATGTCTAACCTCCTGAACGGTAAAGTCTTCTCACTACTTTTTCTTAGACGAGTTCGGAAAATTTTATAATACACAATGGCTTGCAAACTGTTATTACATGTAACGTAATTAATTTGTTATTACATGCAACGTATGCAAACTGTTATTACATGTCACGTATGCAAACTGTTATTACATGTCACGTATGCAAACTGTTATTACATGTAACGTATGTAAATTGTTATTACATGTCACGTATGCAAACCGTTATTGTATGTAACGTATGCAAACCGTTATTGTATGTAACGTATGCAAATTCGCAATATGACAACGGACCAATATTTCCCCTAAAACCACGGTTCCAAACAAACTCTGATTTAACAATCAAATATTATTAATTATTTATAACTGTAACATGCCCCACTCTGAACTCTCAGGTGATCCTTCTAGCGCACCAGAGAACGGGGTCCAGCTTCACGGGGGAGTTGCTTACCTCCCCCACCCGCGGTCTGTACGTGTTCGAGCCTCTCTTTGCCTACCGCAGCTTCCCCTACGATGACCCGACGTGGGCAATGGAAATGCAGAAGTTCATGAGCATCATAGGTGACCTCCTCGACTGCAGGCCACAGGTCAGGCTTTATTTCATGCGAAAAGATGGTGATAATGATGACGATAATGTTATAAATATATAGTATAATGACGCAAAAGTTCATGAGCATCATAGGTGACCTCCTCGACTGTAGGCCACAGGTCAGGCTTTATTTCATGTGAAAAGATGGTGATAATGATGATGTATATTATGATGATATTGCTACAAAAATATGGCGTAATGATGCAGCAGTTCAAGAGCATCTTAGAGGGCGGCTTGACTGTAAATATAGGCCGCAGAAAATGGTTGTTATTGTGAATGTTTAGGGTTGAGGATCTCCGACATGACAGAATTATGGAAAAGTATTGATTTTTGAGCTTGTCTTTAATTTCTTCATTTGAATGGTATGACATAAAATGATATCCCGGTGATGTAAAGGCGCCTCGTCTCGACATATTTGTGATGCAATTTCTATTAATTCAGCAAGAATTACATTTTTCACGTGTTTTTGCAGTTAATTTAACAGATATTTTTTAACATTAAATAAAATTTTCATGTGTTTTTGCTGATAATTCGACAGAAAATTGATTTCTCATATGTTATTGCTGTTAGTTCAACACTAAATTTAATCATGCAGGTGCTGCCGCTGTTCAACACGACGTTCATGAACAAACACGTGCCGTTACAAGACTGTTCCAGTCAGCATTTCCGGCTGACAAAGCTGATACGGGCTCGCGCTGACACCATCTTGCCTTGGCTCAAACTTAGACCTGACATCAAGGTACGCATATATAGTTGGTAATAGAAAATAATAATGGTGAGGATTTCCCCGATTTTTTCATACGACTTAGATCGTTGAAAAATACGTGCACAAGCGATGGGATCACGATCCGCTTAGTTACTTTTAGTCATGGATACGGATTTTTGAATGACTTTTTACTTTAGTTATAGCAATCTAGTATGGTTGTCTCAATTCAATTAAATCGTGCTTAGTTCAATGAGTCTATATCAGACTATTTTTATGAGTTGTGACAATTTTACAGTAGAATAGCGCAAAAAAGTCTGCCGTTTTATTTGAATAATTATTATTATAACAGGACTAATAGTATAAGTGGCGAATGATTTACAAGTTGTTCATCATCGTCGTATGCTCGGTTGTCGTGTAATTTGTATTCAGTAGAAAACTATGCGAGTTTGTTTGCATCTACGTATACCCATATTCCAGGTGAAAACAAGCATTCATCTAAAAAATTTCCCAGGCTGTCCAAATTAATGAAACGAATACGATGAAGAGGTTCATTTGCACAGGTGTTTGAATAGGTAAATTAAGAGTACAGGTGAGAGCGAAGATATATTTTACAGTTATTCTAGCGGTAAACGAAAATGTAAATAGAAAAGAGCCTAATTTTGATAGGTAATCCAGCTGGTCAATTTGAGATTGAGAATTAGAATAAAATAGAACTGCCAGCACTGAAGAATTAGACCCGTGGTCTGTTGCCGAAAGGATTTATTTTCTACAGGTATTTCCTCTGAAATAATTCAGACTAAATTAGGGACCAAGGATTTATTTTCCAGGTGATCCAGCTGGTGCGGGACCCTCGAGCTGTGCTGTGCTCAATGGAAGAGTCAAAGCCTTGGTGGTCGCCCGCTGCTAGAGACCCCGCCCACCTCTGCCGCCGTCTGCAAGAAGACCTCAGCGTCGGTAAAGCCCTTAGCGCTAACAGGTGAGCATTGTTAACATTCATTTTATATGCTAAAGAACATAGAGATAATTTCTACTTCATATTTTCGTCTTCGTATTATTATTCGGGCTCATTGATTTGTAATGAATCAATGATCTAATTGAAACGAAAGTGGCACACAGTGAGGAACCAACCAAATCAATTATTATAGTAATAATTATTATAAAAGTAATAGCGGTATCGGCCTAGAAGATTAGGCCAATGAGTCAGTAGATTCTGAATGTCACATACTTTTCACAGTTTTTACGGCAATCTAACACGTAATTTACTGCTACAAAATTCACTGTACTAAACCTCCTTTCCATCGCACTGATTTCGATCAGACCGTTTTACAGTTGGCAGGTGGCCCTGCGCCCTGCCAAGACTAGTTACTAAAACAAAAACCTAAAGATCTCGAGAGACCTTAAGATCCCCCCGGGTATTCACCCAGAGTGTTTAGGGACACACCCCCAAGGCCATGCTGAAAGCACCACCTCCCGACGACGACTAAGCGCCGTCCAAGCGACACCGAGAAATTAACTGAGCTTCCCGGGGCTCGAACCCACGCCTAGCTCCTCCATCTCGGTGCCGCCGTCACGTCGTCACATGCGCATACAGTGGAGCCCTTGCCGCTAACCACTGCGCTTGCGCTACAGTGACGCCCATACAAGTTACCTTACTAGTAGCCTTTGTCATTACTTTGAAAGGGGCCACTTGAAGTTCCTTTAGTTACTTTTAACAGAGAACATTGGTTTGCTGGTATTGCGGGACTTGGAGTAGGACCGAACAAAATGTCAATAAGACTTCCAAGTCTTTAATAAATTTTACTTACAGTTTACCATATTTAACGTTTTCTATCAGAAGAAAATATATCTAACATGGACTGAAAAAAATAAAATTGTCATAAGAAGACTCCGTAATTTTTATTTAGTTCGCAATATAGCATAGGGCTACACTACGAAAGAAATAGATACTTTCATCACCCACTAGATAAATTCAATAATAAAAAATATTAATAATTGAAATCTCAACTACAGATTTTAAAGTTTCATCTGTCTCTGATCAATTAATCGTGTGACAGTGTAACTCCATCGTGCTGATCGAAGATCCTATTAGATTGACTATAGACGCTCGATTCAGTCGATTGTGCTGGATTTCTTCTTGAGTTAAATTATATTGTTTCCCTAATTAAATATAACTTTGTAGCTTTAGCTAATAAAAAGTTAATCAATACCTAATGTTTCAATTAATTTCAAAATGAATGTTGTTTTTTTTTAATGTTTGTTCAAAAATTTTAATTTAACTTAACCTCGGAAAATATTGACTTACTTTAAGTCAGTATTTAAGTCGTTATACTTTCAGATATTATAACCACGACTAAAATAGTAAATATTGTAAACAAATTCACCATTTATTCGAAAAAATAAATAAATAAACGCTTGATTGATTCTTAATTGATTTAAAAAATAAAAATTTCCTAATATTTGCTTCTAATTTTAAGTAATTATAGCGAAGAAATTTGCATTCTAACCATGTATCGAGCATCATCTTTCATGCATCTCCAGCTTTCCATATTCAGTTATTCATTCTACATTCAGTTTCCGACAATAATTGACTGTGTTAATAAAATTTTAAGTTCAATCTAGCAATTGAAGTTTTCGAATACCATATGTAATAATAAATGTTGATGAACATACATGATTGGAAACTATGTCATCTTGATATAACGATTTTGATTGAATTCGTCACAATTAACACTCTATAGGGTTTATGAATAAATTAATATATAGTAATTAATTATGAATTAATTATTATATATTAATTAGGGCTTATGATGTCTTTTCGTGTCGTTTTCTTAGTTACCTTTGGTGTGACAATGTCTATGCATGATTATGTCTCATCAATAAAATGATAAAATTTTAATGTAAAATACTGATAGCAACCTATTTTTCCGACGTTCCAGATACACGTTGGTGAGATACGAGGACTTGATGCAGGATATAGAAGGACAAGCATCGCGACTTCTCCGATTTATTGGTCAAGATTTCAACTCCAACGCCAGGAGTTTCATTTCCAGAATGGTCAATGTTGAGGGAGCAAGAGAGGAAGTCCTGAAAAAGTAAGATAAAACATTTTCCCTTCAAATTTAAGCGATAACTCAACAGGATAATCTCTAATCATTATTGAGAGGAAGTCTTAAAAAAGTAAGATAAAACATTTTCTCTTCATATTTAAGTGATTTCTCAATAGGATAATCTCTAATCATTATTACAATTGTAATATTTTATGCTTTCACCTCTAAAAAAACACACAAGCGATAACTCAACAATCCAAACAAACCTACTAGGACTCAAAAGTGAAATGGAAAATGCAGAGAAAAAATTGCAATAAAATAAAAAATTTAATAAATCATAGTAATGATCATATTGTATATTGCTATAAAATCATATCACAAAATTGTGTGTGGGTTTATTTCAGTCCGTTCCGCATCATGCGTGGTCCGGCCTACGACCCGGAACACTGGCGTAAGGATCTGCCTGAGGAACTCGGACGACGCGTCGAAGAACTGTGTGCGGATGCGATGAATTATTTAAATTACACGTTAATTTATTAGAAAATAACTATTTATCTCGTTCATTTGAATCGTAATTTAAGCATGAATCTAATAGCAACAAAAGCCTAAATCAATTTACCATATTTTCCTTGAAAAAGTTTTGGAAAAAGTTCCATCAACAGCACAAAAAATCCGAAATTCAAGTGTAATGAATCTAATCAACGCAAAAATTTACAATAAACAGAACTTTCGTTTGAATTCTTGATTTTCTTCCGTGTAAATTTTCTCGTTCTATTAATTATAATAGCTTATATCCCTGAAGTTGGAATTGATGACAGTGTTTGTCTCCGAACCGTCTGCAATTATATGTTAGCCGTTGAATGTTGAATTTAATAGGTGCCTTTTTTTGCTTTAAAGTTCTTGGTGAAAATAAACATAGTGTCATTTCCTCGTTCGTCCTAGCTGTTGTGCTTTAAGATTTGATTAGAGCAAACTTAGCTATAAGTTCCTCTGAATATTTGTGACCATATTTTTTAATGTAGATAAGTAAGGCAACGATTATCAATTTAATAAAGTTATATAATTAAATTATACACGGAGCATGGCTAGATGAAACAGTTAACGATCATCATCTCACAATCATTTATTAGTCCAAGGTGCGTACAGAAGTTTCAATTGAGACCAACATTAAGACTATAAATAAAGCTTTTTTGTGAGTTCATTGTGCACAATTAACAAGCGTGGAAACGAAAATCAAAACAAATTAACAACGAACTGACGGTGAAATGAGCTTGGACATGGTAGAACATTTAGCAAAGGAAGTTGCCATTTAGCTTTGTTTCAAGGTACATGCATTCATTGATGAAAATTGTAAAGCCGCTCCTGAAGGATTTTTATTTACCTTTTTGGTAGCAATTCGAAGATTATCTGAATATACGGCAATACTTTACGAAACCATGTTTGACAGTCAACGAAGAATTGAAATGCAGATTGCATTGGATACTAGCTGTAAAAAAAATTAGAAAAAATAATGATTTTTCTTTTTCCAAACACGAATCAAAGTTTTAACGTGAATTCGTTCATAGGCTACACAGCAATACATTTTTCTGGAATGGACTGACTTGTGAATCGGACTAACAATTGACTGATACGGTTTCCGGGACTAACTATAAGCAATGAACGTTCCAATAAGAGTTGTGATTTAACCTTTGACGTGTGAGGTTCGAAGAGCTGAGCTCTCGAGGTGACAGTATTTTTCTAGTGACTTACAATTGACAGCACGGTGGAAGTGTACAGCGAATGATCTATACAAATAAATAGAGTAAATCGTTAAAAAATTATCAGTGAATAATTTACTATGAACATTTAACGGGCGGTAGCTAAAAGAGCAGTAATTAATTAATACCCCAGGTTCAACAGACAAATTGCCGCCTGAAATTTCGCCCTGCCGATTGATCAGCAAGAGGTAAGTTCCCTACTACAAGCTTATATCGACCTATTACATGCATGTCACTTTGTCAAGATATTGTAAACCAAGGTTTATTAGCATTAATGTGCTATGTGCAACCGTATTAAATACGCAATTGAATTTTTAGGCGACTTAATATTCAGTGCAAACAACTGAACCAAATAATCTGGGGTATTGGCAGCCATATGCGAAAAAGTATAAAAATTTGCACTACTGCAGTGGGCAAGCAGCTTTTTTCGTTTGTGGTGAAAGCAAACCGCAGTTCTAAGCTTATACTGCAGTTCACCACATACGTAATCCAGTGGCGTTTGAAAAATGATAAGCTGGTAATGACAGGCATGAGACCTCGGTATATATTTCATTTGTTTTAATGGTTATAGATGATCCGTCAGTGAATTGTTACCGATTAGATTCGTATATCTTGTATAAGTACAGTTTTGGCCAAAAGTGGACTGAAATTTCGATGAACCACAGAATGGAGACAGAAATTCCCATCGTTGGATCGTCGCCAAGAGCTGTAGCAGAGGTCTTTTTTGTGCGCTACTTATTCTAAACTGTTTGTTATATTTTAATTAATTACCGACTGTCAATATTTGATTTTCAATCTGATTAACGTCAAAAATTTTAGTCGGCAACGTCGGCTTTAGTCGGCAACGTCGGCTTTAGTCGGCAATATCATTCGAATTTGTAGCGTGGAACTTGGAAGAGAAATATATGAATAGATACACAATCTTACTGTATTAATATACCTGTAAATATATCTTTCATTTATATATCTATATATTTATGGATCGAATAAGAGATGCGAATAGATCAAATTTGAATATTTGAATTATTATATGATTTCCATCCTATATATATACGAGTGTACATTCAATTCGAGTTTCGGTCTTATATATGCTACCGTTTTTGTCTTTCCATCTTGCATGATATTTTAACATATTTCCACTACCGTAACATTCGTCACTAAAATTTGAGGTACGAATTGCCATGGCGGCGGTTGACGCCACCGTGGAGTCATCAATTAAAAGGGACCAATATTTTTTAGCAGATGCCCTTTATTGAATACGTGGGAATTATCATGCCTTCCCTGCCCAACGCCCAAGCAGTAGCGGCAGCATTAGTATATTGACTAATTTCATTTAAACGCTACGGCTGCCAAAATAAAATTACTAGAAGTCTTGGAATGGAAATTGATCAGAAAATTTAGCTGTGGCATTAAGAACGTTTAAGATCCATCATCAATTTTTAAACATAAAGTGATCTTGAGTATATGAATTGAACTTCTATAAAATGTTCAGAATGTTCTTACATTGTATGGACACAATTAATGCTAGGCTTATGCTTTTTTTTGGTGCTTTGTGAACGCGTGAAAATGAGTATCAACGAGAGGACTTAGAACCAAATCTAGATCATTGGTTGCATATCCATGCGTCATGTATCCCATGTGGTCTAGTGGCTAGGATACCTGGCTTTCACCCAGGAGGCCCGGGTTCGATTCCCGGCATGGGAATGCCGTTTTGTGGCAGCAAAATTGTTGCTAAATCTTAACTAATAAATAAATTATATAATGGGTAAATTTCTAGTTACAGTCGAGCCGAGAACGAGTTTGGTTAGACTGCGTAGTGAGTGTTGTGAATGTTAGCTTAGTGAATGCAATTTAGAAATTTATTTTGCAACCACGAAGATCAATTTTATTACATAATATTTAATTTATATAAATTGAAATAGAGTTAATCGTCTATAAATGTCTAGAAAATTGGCATAAATGTTGTACATTTTATCATTTTCAAGATTTACTCATGTCTTTAATATTTTTGCTTAGTGCTTTATTGCTTCTTTGACATCTTTCTAAGGTAATTAATTTTTAAACTTTTATGTCGCATTGCAAGGTAAAACTCGTGCCTAAAATTTGCTTAGTTGCATGTGCGCGTCTCAATTAATAATAAGACATAAAGTATGATAATTTCATTTACGAACGCCGAGACAATTAACCTCGGCAAATCTTTCCTCTCAGCGAAGTCTTGTGACGTGTCAAAGGTCTATTATATTCCTAGGGTTCCTATATAAGCGCCCCACTGCTGAGCTCGCGGTGTCTGACTGCTGGCTTCAGTTGTGAGGCTACATTAAGTTATTATGTAGGTAGGATACCTTACATTAAGTTACTATGTAGGTAGGATACCTTACATTAAGTTATTGTGTAGGTAGGATTCCTTGCACCTTGCATTTCCATTCTCTGTCTCTCTCGTGCGGGCGGCCGACGTCCCGTGTAAGCGACCTCTTGTTCGAGTGTTTTCGCTTCTGTTGCTTTTCACCTGTCCCTCCTTGTCACTTCGTCTCTTTGAGATGCTAACGTTGCTTCTTTCGAGCCAGCCTCGGCGAGCTGGACAATTGCACGAGACCTTCCGTCCTTGTGGGTTATTAGGGAACGCCTTAATTTGAACGATTTTTAATTTGAGAAATTTGCGAAAATTGGGACCTTCCACCCTGTTGGTGATGTTTATTCTTGACTTGATGTGCGAGCAAGCTTAATTTCTGAAGCGATAGTTAACTGTTTTTCCACAAAACTGACTGCAAATATTTTGTTACGGTCAGTTTTTGAAAACTAGTGGCTCGACAGTGATAATTTATTTTGGCGTTTGTTGCACTTATGTTTACATCAGTTAACTGTATTATACGAGTTCAAATGTGGGAACCAAGTTTTTTCCTTATGTTGCCATGCCCCATGTTTCCCTATGTTGTGAGCTTAAAAAATGTAATTGGTTGAATTTTAACTCATTCAGATACGCTTTTATGGATAAGTTTGAAGGAATTAAAGTTGACTAACTATCGATTCTAAAAAATATTGGGAGGAGATCGTAAAAATTGGTCTCTATTAATTTCCTTTTGCCAGGACAAATCGACTAAATAATATTCCTATCAATGTCTCTTGATTGCTCGAATACCAAATTCAAGACGAACTTCAAAGCGAAGAATATGTCCCAAAAATTAGCCATATCTTTACAGCAAACGTCTCGGTGTCTAGGTCCATCTAAATTAGTTCTAACGAAATACGAGGAACAGGCGCTAAATCATAAATTGACGAATGTAGTATAAGGAAAAAAGATCAGGCAAACATATCTATTTACAGTTTCAGGTGGATAAGAACTACAGGCTGCATTCAAACGAGGCCTCTTTTTAAAAATATACGGTGATTAGAAAAGTCGCAAGTCGAAAACAGCGGACGAGGAAGCTAAATTGTAAATTCACCTTTATCGGATGTAGGCATAGGTTTGACTGTTTAGTACCGTGTCTTTCTTTTGTTTATTCAGATTTAACATCTAAATTTCGACTGAACTCGCTGCACGTATCTGTTTTCTAGAATTTTTAAACTGAAGACGGAGCTGGACTATAAAACGTTTCTTATTCAGTTATCGTGAATTTTTGCACAATATTCATTTTAAATCCCTGCGGAAATTTTCCTATACTGTATATGGAAGACATGTCTGATGAAGCGGAATTATGAAATTTCTCTCTTGTAGTTTGAACTCGAACTCGATTCAAAATTTTAGGCGAATTAAAAAGTTCTTGACTGAAAATATTTTTCTATATTGTAACAGTTTTTTGTTCCTTCAAATCCGTCGATGTTCCAACAATAATTTCATTTTTAGGTAGCGTCAAGCACACTTCCTATATTCGCTCACTCACGACCGGACTAAATCCAATACAGTTCGAAAAAGGGAGTTTTCGCTAGCTGTATCGGGATGTCATCAAAAGATCCAATTATTGGCAATCAAAACCATAATTTGGTTCTCAAACAAGCACCTTAACTTGTTTTCTGAATGGCCGACCCATATCATGGTTATTTCATCGAGCGGACTGAGCGCTGCATCAAAAGCTTCGTGTGTCGTGCGTTTGACGTCCTTAATTGTGGTGTTAACTCTTATGTTCACTTTTCTGGTACGTAATTATTTGATACTGCTGGAAACTGTTTGATGTTTATATTGGCTTTGTTGAGTTATTGAGTTATATTGGGTTGAGTTATTGAGCTATATTGGCAATTGAGTTTATATTGGCTTTGTTGAGTCATTGTTTATATTGTTGAGGTGTTGAGTGCGTCATCTTTATTGATATCGCTTCATGTTCCACCGAATCTTGCCGTGAAGCTGACGTATTTTCGGCAATTATTTTATAGAGTTGTCATTAAATTGTTATAAGCACTTGAAAATACAGTATGAATAAAATTTTTCATTGTAAATTGAATTTATTTGAAAATTGAAAATTAAATTCATGCATGAAAATTCATTTTTTACGAATTGAAGCAGCTAATAGCTGAAAATATTTGCAGTTACTTGAACCTAGTCTGAAACCGGTCACTCAGTGTCATTAACTAAAAAAATATTCGATTTACGAATAACCAAAATTCCAGCATCTTT